TACATTATTTCCCTCGATTTTCTACACGTTTGTCGTCAACACCGGCGGTTTTGTTTGACGATCCGCGTATTATAATGTCTATGCTCTTATACCCGGCGATTTCCGAGGAATTTCACGTACTGAAAGTAGCCGAGCACCTCGCTCACCGAAAAGCGAGGGAATAATGGACTATGCCAGAAGATGGTGGGGCGTCGGAGACCCCACGCATGCGCACAAGAGGCTACGGGCATTGCCATGCGCAGACACTCCAAGCGAGTGCGCCTTCGTCTGTTAAGAACGACGCGGGACCGGCAACAAAGAATTTCTAACGTGTTTGCTAAACCGCCAAAATTTCCGGATCCCGCCATTTTATTAGCGCGGCAAATCGTGAGAAAAATCAGACTTTTTCCCGGTTTTTTGTGGGGGAGTGGATACGACGTAGTATTAATAACATCCTCGATTGATAACGACATTGTTTTTGGTGCAATATTGCTTCGTGAAAACCGAAAATCATTAGTGGACTATGTTGATATCCGGGGAAAAAGATCGTGAGTGTGGGTCGGTGTCGTGTTGTGGGAATTTCAGGGTTTTTAGCAAGAGATCAGTGTGGTTCTGGTGGATATTTTTTGGGTTCGAATTTGTCAGTGGAGAGTATTAATTTCGTGAATGGTGAATTTTTTTTTGAAATTTTCCAAGTGCCATTTGGTCAAAAAGTGAAAAAAATTAATAATCACGCCCCAAGGGCTAACTCACGCTTATTATGAATCGCGAGGCGCTCCGTAACTCAGTTCCGGTCACCTTTTCCTGGAATTTTCATTATTGCGTGAATGACTGGTCCGGCAATTGAATTAGGACGATCGAATTGTGATGTACTCCCATTAACTTTTGTCATTTTAGTCTAAGAGAATATCTGTACCCTTTTAGTTTTGTATTCGATCATTCTTTACAATTTCCGTGTATTTCAATTGTTTTATTAATCCTCCCCAGGTATAAGCAGTGGACAGAGCATTTGAATGTTCTGCGCATAGCGCGTATATCAATGAGTGGCGCGCGCACCAAGGGGGCTGGCATACACAATCAGCTTAGTGTTTGATTCTTTTTGTGTTAAACGATCTTTAAAAATTAATTAAAAATTCATAGTAGGCTTAGGAATATTACTTCTACCCGAAATTCGAAGAATTGGGTCAACCCAACCTCTGGATATTTTTATTTTTCCGATAGGATTAGATTAATCAATCCAGTGTAGTTTTTTGGCGTTCCCCCTCGTTTTTTCATTAGTTTTTAATTAATTAAGCATATTTCTGCTCAACATGTACATGCATATTTTTGATATGATGATCAGGGGAATTTTATCTACATTTACCTGCATTTTCAGCCTGCCAGGACTTTTTTAGGGGTATCAAGTATAAACGCAAAGCGTTAAACTACGTAAAACTGAAAGTTCGGAGTCAGAACTCGCAACTGCGGTTATGTGCGATACATGCACATGCGCTCAACACAGACTGTCGGATCCTCTTGTGGCGACTTGACGAATCATTTTGTTCTCTGAGAGAAACGGAACAGAAGCAGACGCTATACAAGACAGGCACAACTCCATTGTAATTCACCATTTTCCCTAATGGGAGAGTAGTGCGTTGTTATTGAATTGAAATTTCTCTTTTCCACTTAATAATCGGCTGGAAAGAATTAATCATCTTTTATCACAACCTTTTGCCCGGTTTTTCACATTATAGTTATCGTAGGCTAGACGAGATAGTCACTGGATATTGAAGGTGGAGGAGGTCACAACGCAAGGCAAGATGACGGCACACGACCAGATGCGAGCAATGCTCGACCAATTGATGGGAACTGGACGTAATGGTGCGTATGATTAAATAATAATCTGCTTATTCAATTTTATTTTTATATTATTATTTTATTGACAATGTGAAATTTTTTAGGTGAGAATAACAAATTTCAAGTGAAATACTCCGATCCGAAGGTCTGCAAGAGCTTCCTCTTGGCATGCTGTCCTCACGAAATACTATCGTCCACTGTGAGTATAAAATTCATCTCAGAAATTAATCGTTCCCTCGGCTTTTCCATATTTTCCACGTGAAATATAAAAATATCAAAATTATCATGTTGTTTATTTGGTATATTGAAGAGAGCCGAGTCAAGTAGTAAATGTAGGATTATTCGTTTTCACGTATCATTTTCACTCATTTTTTTCTTTGACTATTCACCAGTTTGCATTTGCATTCGGTGAATTTGTTATGTGGGAATTGTCATTTGAAATTTAAAAAATTGATAAATAAATAAATAATCACCCAAAATTGCGAATTAATAGAACGCGTAATCTAATTGATGGTTCCCGATGCAGTTCTTATTTCCAGAGGTGTCTGGAAAAACCAATTCCAATAGAGAAACCATTCGAGAATAATGTCCTCTCTTATGTCGTACTTGTCTCTCGCACACACGCGTTAACCTGTAAGTACTGAAAAAAAAAAACAAATGAAAAATAATGAAAACAGAGCAAAAAAGGACGTACGTATGTTAATAGATACGCATAACATTACTTGTTTCTATTGTAACCCTTATTCCATATATTTTCCATGCAATTAAGCCAATGGTTCTCCTCATACTTTGCCATTGTCGTACATACTACTTGTGAAGAAGAGAGAACATTCTTCAGGGATGTACTTATGCGGTAATGACTGTTAAGGGATTTGATAATTCATCATCAATGTCATTTTCATTAATCTATTGTATATTCACTATTCAATATTTTGGTACAAATCAACATTCATTTATTAATTAACTTTTCCAGTATTACATTATTATTTCTCACACTACAACAAATATTTCTGCATAATTACTCCTATAATCACGCATTATCAAATTGAAAGAATATTTTAAAAAATTGGATGTACTTTACCATTGCAAATTGTAATGCAAATTGTTTCGTATAAAATCCTCACAAGTGCATAGGTCATCCAGGATCATTGCTCTATCTTTCTAATTCCGTTAAAATTTTTTAATTAAAAATTGAGATGAATGAGCGATGCAACAGAAATTTGAGTACAAATATCACAAAAATTAATAAACGCTTTGGTAAGTAGCGCGCCAGTAAGTAATGCGATAAACAAAGAAAGATAATAATCAAGTTTAACAACTGAAAGGTGTCACATTAATGAATTCTAAAATCATCTACTATATCGTTCGTGAGTATGAAGAAAAAGTAGTAATAAAGACATGAACAAGAAAAAAAAAGAACGAAAAATTAGTCACAACCCGAAGGTATGCAGCCATACGCAGATACTCTGTAAGTAAAGCACTCTGAAAATGTCTTTTACCGTACAAGAGATTGAGTGAAAATATATCACAATCAACTATTGATAATTTTCTCCTTGTGCATGACAAATGTGGCATTGAATCATGGTTTAAAAATGTCCGTGATCAATGCAATTAATTCATTAAGAAAAAATCATAATAATCACTTGATAGTTCTTCTAAAAATCAAATCAAGTTAAACGACTCACAAAAACAGTTAAAGAATAATATTAAATGTCTGCAATGTGAATGATCAATCACCTGGAATAGTGAGTCAAAATTCATCACAGGATGTACGTATTACGATTGCACTAAATTAATATCAAAAATTAAATTGACTTGAGCAACTGTTTTTTTTTTCTTTCTTTTTTTCTTCCTATATTTTTGAACTTTATAAGAACTTGTTTTTGTGGATTATCTATCGAATAGAATAATTATGTTATAAGTTGTTGCCATATATACCATGAAATATATTGTGACAAAGCCTTAAGGTGTGTATGCTGATTTGTAGCATCATTACCCATCGCATTCGTGCGTCAGGCGGAAAGGTGTTGCCATTCTGTAAGTCAAAACCAACAGAATATTGTATCTACCTATATAGAGATAAAACCTTACCTCAGGCAAGATTTTGAAAATCAAAATAAATATGGTAATTTCATCATGTTACATGGTGAAAAAAGAGTTTCTTTCATAGATTTATTGAAATTTTCAAGCGTGAAATTATGGGTAGCCGAATGAATGGCTGTGTGAATGGGAACAATCGAAAGTGGGAGTGCACGTAATGACAAACTGAAAATTTTATTATTATGAATTGTGATAAATTATTGATATTATCGAGTAAGAAGCAAGAGCTATTTTATATTTTTCATGCGAAAACCAAATGAGTTATCGAGAACCCAAGTACTACAACATTTAATTGAATTGATATGATCTAATGTTCTTTTATAATTTGTCACTCGCAGCGCATGGACCTGGGAGAATGCCCCCAGATTCACGATTTAGCTTTACGGGCTGACTATGAAGCAGCACAGAAGAAGAAGGATCACTTTTACGACATTGACGTAAGTGTAGCGTAAATTATTTTATGTTCGATAAAATATAACGACTATCTCAATATTTAACACTTAAAGAATAATTCTACTCATTGCTCATTTTTAATTTGACAATTTTTATTTGCAGGCAATGGAACACCTGCAGAATTTCATTGCTGATTGTGATCGTCGTACTGAGCAAGCAAAACAGCGTTTAGCTGAAACTCAAGAAGAATTGAGTGCCGAGGTTGCAGCTAAGGCAAACAGTGTTCACGTACTTGCCGAAGAAATTGGAAAGAAATTGGCAAAGGCCGAGCAACTCGGTGAGGAAGGTTTTGTTGAGGAATCCATGAAGCTCATGGGTGAAATTGATGAACTACGGAAGCGTAAGAACGAAGCTGAACAGGAATATCGGAACAGTATGCCAGCATCAAGCTACCAGCAACAGAAGCTACGGGTTTGTGAAGTGTGCAGCGCTTATCTTGGCATTCACGACAATGATAGACGCCTGGCAGATCATTTTGGTGGCAAGTTGCATCTTGGCTTCATAAAAATACGAGAAAAATTAGCCGATTTGGAGAATACAGTTGAGGAGAGACGTAAGGAGAAACGAGAGTCTATGATGGATAGAGATAGACATCGTGACAGAGATGATCGTGATCGTCGAGATTCAAGGGACAGAGGACGTGGGCTAGGCTACAGGGAGCGCGAACGCGAGCGAGATCGTGATCGTGAGCGTAGAGATAGAGATAGAAGACGCTCGCGATCACGCAGCCGTAGTCGTGGAAAGAGGTAAACTAATCTTTCAATAAACAATCTTTATTTAAAAAAAATTTCATTATTAATATACAGTCAATTTTTCAAAATAATTTTCAGATCAAGACGTTCACGCAGCAACAGCCGCAGTCGTCGTTCCCGCTCACGACGAAGTGGATCAAATGATCGTAAACGATAATTCAGTAGCACCTCAGTGAGTGAGGTAAGACATTTAGACAGCGAACAGATATAATAACAAAAAACCGACACAACAATTTTAGAAAGAGACAAAACCGAGAAAAAAAAATCCAAACACTCCAAGTTCTCCAGCACCTACAAATGTAATGTAAGCCCATAGATCATCAAATTGTTTCCATCTTCTTACTAGCACTTTGAATTTATTGTTTCATTCAATTACTCATATGTGTATTTGAATGAAAAATTTTGAGACATCTAAATTTTAGCTGTACACTATTCACTGTTTCTTGCCATGTAACGATCATGAAATTGTTCTATATTTTTCATTCAATTATTTTTTCATCCTTCAATATTTTATACATACATAAAATTCGTGTATAACCTTGAGTACTTCAATTATTTATCATCACATTCATGAATTCAATAAATCCACGTATGAAAAGTTCATTGATTTATTCAATGACTCCCTGGATATTTCGTCTTTCGTGTAAATAAATATATATATATATATATTTTTTTTTATCATTTCCTCATCACGGAAAAGCAAAAATAATCCAAAATCAATTACAACAAATTTCTCATTTGTCTCATACATGATTTGTTAGTTTTTTCCTTCTTATTTTCTTTTTTTTTTTTGCTTTTTTTTTTTATAACTACCATAATATTAAATCTACCTAAATGTCTGTTATTGTATGAAAATTCATCATTGATGAATCAATAAAGGCATTCCATAACGAGCATATAAATCTCTAGTGTAACATTTATTTATTGTAAGAATCATACGTTTGTCATTAATTGCTGTTGGATCCTATTATGTCTTAAACAACATTGCTGAATGAACACAACCAAGGATTTAATCTTGATTTTACTTCCATATTGCTTGCTGTAGATGTTAAGGTAAAGTCCCAAGAGAACCAGCATACCTGACCAAATATACTGCATGGTAAACGGTTTGTAAAAGAATAAAAAACTTATTAGAATTGTGACGGCTTTTCTGCAAGTTGTCACTGTCGCTGCGACGAATGCTCCATGCGTTTGAACAAGTGTTAGTACTATTTGAATCCCTAGGTATCCGCTCAGTGAGAACAAGAGGGCATAACCATAAGTTTCCATGGGATGCTGAAAATTAATACATAATGTACATGATGCATAAGGTACGTCTAATTAATATTCATAATAAACAATAGGATAAAAATTACTCACATTGGAAGAAAATGTTGCACCTTTATGTAATTCACCAGTGACCATTAAAATAATAAATAAGTATAAAAATCCCAAACCATAAGAATATAGTACAACTTCAGTATTAGTTGCTTTATGCTGCTTCATAGTTTTCTCCTGTACATTTCCAATAACGGAGTCACACAAGAGGGCACATATAATTATCGCCACACCAATAATATTAAAACGAGGTGAAACCATGCTATCCGTCAGGGTAAACAAAACAAGTCCAATGCAAAGCAATCCTGCAGCTATAAAATCCAAAGGTCCATATTTTTTCCCCTGAATTATAATTCCTCCTATTAGTACAGGAATGAGTTTACAACTCTTGAAAATCACTTGTGTAGGATAGTTCAAATAGCCTAACGATGAATTGGAGAAACCCATTGTGCCCAATGTCAGCAAGGCTAGCATCATGTAGGTTGATAGTGGAATTCTTCGTTTAACTCCTTTTAATTTGCATTCGAGCCAACCGAATAATGTATAGTAGGCAAATTGTATAAGAGTGAGGAACCATCCGTAAGATCGAAATCCATCTAATGTGAATATTAACTCCTGCAAAATATTCAACCATTAATTTCTCTTCAATCCAACAACAATAATGCCTTTTTACCTATATTTACCTGAAGATATCCGTAGAGAATGTAGAAAAAAAAGACGCCTGCAGAACACCAAATGAATCTCGTTCTCTCGCTATAATTGGCCAAATCAATGCAAAAAATCTTAATTATACTGCTATTTTTTCCATCATCTTGAGAGTAGATTTTATTATGATTCATCATACAATTCTCCACTTTATTTATACAACGCAGAATTATTATTTACCGAATCTCTTGATAATTGTCATTATTAAGAGAATATTTCTTTAATTACCACATATCAATGAATATTTATTGCTTATATAATTCGTCTGTTATTAATTAACACGGTGGCGTGAAAAATATTTATTTTATGGGGTAAGTGTGAGTGAGAAGCGCATGCGCGTCGTCCGTCGTTTCACTCTCGCAGAGTGATGGGAGCGCACGCGCACCTCTACACTTTAAACATGCTCTCCGCCATGACACTTTCCAGTCCATGTTTTTTTTTTTTTTGTACTAGTACTAGTATACTGTAACTATAATATACTATATAAAGGAAGAGGATGTAGAGCTCGTTGGAGGATAATATAATAATATAATATATCAGCATCACCGTGCTACTAATTCTACTATTGACATGATCAGCAAAGTTTAGTGAATTTATGCAATTAAAAATTATTAATAATAAATTTTTACATCTTAAAAGCACGTGAGAAAATAAATCTATTCATTTCAAGAAACGTGTCTGGGGTTATAACATTTCAAGGATGTATTAACATTTATTTGGCGTTTGCGATTTTAAACCTAGTGCAGTTTAAGAAAATAAACAGTAAAAATGTATTCAATCTGTCGGAATACACACCCAGGCACAGGTGTGGAGCATGCAATAACTTGTTACTTCTTCAATCGTCGTGATAAATGCTTGGTAGTCGCTGGAGCAAATGTCATACGAGTGTTTCGGTTGATTCCAGACGTAGAGATCTCGAAGAAGGAGAAATTTTCGGACTTACGTCCACCCAAAATGAAACTCGAGTGTCTGAGTCAATATATACTACACGGCAATATAATGTCAATGCAGGCAGTTAGTCTGACTGGATCTCAACGAGATTCTCTGCTACTCAGTTTCAGAGATGCAAAGCTTTCAGTTGTCGAATACGACCTCGAAAATCATGATCTTAGAACAGTTTCATTGCACTACTTCGAAGAGGAGGAAATGAGAGACGGCTGGACAAATCATCATCACATTCCAATTGTTCGAGTGGATCCCGAGGGTAGATGTGCCATTATGTTAATTTATGGGAGAAAACTTGTAGTTTTACCCTTCAGAAAGGACCCCATGATTGACGACAATGATCCAATTGACATCACAAAATCGCAATCGAATAAGACTCCAATTTTATCCTCTTATATGATTGTCCTCAAGAGTCTCGAGGAGAAAATCGACAATATTATTGATCTACAATTTTTATATGGATATTACGAGCCCACTTTGTTAATTTTGTACGAACCAGTGAAAACATTTGCGGGTCGTATCGCTGTTAGACAAGATACTTGTGCCATGGTGGCCATCTCCCTCAATATCCAGCAGAAGGTGCATCCTATCATTTGGTCAGTATCAAATTTACCTTTCGATTGTTATCAAGCTGTTCCAGTTAAGAAGCCTCTCGGTGGAACTCTGATAATGGCGGTAAATTCGATGATTTATCTGAACCAAAGTATACCCCCTTATGGGGTCTCGCTGAATAATCTTGCCGAGATGAGCACTAATTTCCCATTGAAAGCCCAAGAGGGGGTAAAGATGAGTCTCGAAGGCTCTCAAGTATCTTTCATCTCGCCAGATCGTCTTGTGATATCCCTTAAGACTGGAGAGCTCTACGTTCTGTCTCTATTTGCTGATAGTATGAGATCGGTGAGGGGATTTCACTTCGATAAGGCAGCTGCTAGTGTCCTCACATCGTGCATGTGCCTATGCGAAGAGAATTATTTATTTTTGGGCTCTCGTCTTGGTAACTCTTTGTTATTACGTTTCACAGAGAAGGAGCCAGACGATAGTCAATTGTTGTCTGAAGTGCAAATAATTTCTGATGACACTGGAGAAATGCCAGCTAAGAAGGTGAAACAGGATTACTTGGGGGATTGGATGGCTTCTGATGTGCTCGAGATAAAGGATTCAGAGGAACTTGAGGTTTATGGTAGCGAAACTCAGACCTCGATGCAGATAACGTCATACATTTTCGAAGTGTGTGACAGTTTACTGAACATTGGCCCATGTGGAAATATCTCGATGGGAGAGCCAGCATTTTTATCAGAAGAATTCTCTCACAACAGTGATCCTGATGTGGAGCTCGTGACAACCTCAGGATACGGTAAGAATGGAGCTCTTTGCGTCTTACAGCATTCCATCCGACCACAAATTGTCACTACATTTGAACTTCCTGGCTGTGAGGATATGTGGACAGTGATTGGTGCTCCTGGCGTTGATCAACAGGGGCGAGAATATGAAGCCAATCACGCTTTTCTCATTCTCAGTCATGAGGACTCCACGATGGTACTGCAAACGGGACAGGAGATCAATGAAGTAGAGAACAGCGGTTTTGGAACACAAGGGAGAACGATATTTGCTGGAAATCTTGGAGCCAACAAATTTATCGTACAAGTAACTCAGATAAGTGTCAGGCTTATTCAGGGCTCTGAGCAAATTCAACATATTCCCATGGATCTCGGTTGTCCGATTGTTTATGCCAGCTGTGCTGACCCTTATGTAGTACTCCTCGCTGAAGACGGACAGGTTATTCTTATTACCCTCAAAGAGACCCGAGGCTCCCTTCGACTGCATGCTCAACAGGCTAATCTTCTCTTTCGACCACAAATTGAAACTCTATGCGCTTATCGAGACCTCAGTGGTTTATTCGTCAATAATATACCAGAGGAGAATGAGGACAAGCTTGCTGTGGAAGATGACAAAAATCTCGAGGAACCATCAGCAACAAACAATATCGACAACGAGGATGATCTGCTGTATGGGGACGGCACTGCCTTTCAGATGCCGGCGATTCCAGTTGAGCCGCAACCTAAACTCCCCGAGGAAACACCTAAGAAACATTCCTGGTGGCAGAAACATCTTCAAGATATCAAGCCAACATACTGGTTGTTGGTTTATCGTGACAATGGAACATTAGAAATTTATTCACTGCCAGATCTCAAATTATCTTACCTTATTCGCAATTTTGGCTTCGGCCAGCATGTTCTCCATGATAGTATGGAATCAACAACCCTCCTCCACTCATCGTTGAGCAACGAATCCCTTAATCCAGAAATGCAGGTTCGAGAGATCCTCATGGTGGCTCTTGGTCATCACGGCAGCAGACCTATACTCCTTGTACGTCAGGATAATGAACTGCAGATTTATCAGGCCTATAGGTATCCCAAAGGGAATCTCAAACTGAGACTGAAAAAGTTGGAGCATGGAATTATTTTTGGTCAAACGAGATCTTATCCCAAGGAGGAGGACAATCCCCATATGAATCAAACACGAGTGTCAATGATGAGATATTTCAGTAATATTGCCGGATACAATGGTGTATTTATCTGTGGAGATTATCCTCATTGGATTTTCCTCACCAGTCGCGGAGAACTCAGGGTACATCCCATGGGAATAGACGGACCCATTGGCTCTTTCACACCATTCAATAACATCAATTGTCCTCAAGGATTTTTGTATTTCAATCGAAAGGAGGAACTCAGAATTTGCGTTTTACCTACCCATCTGTCGTACGATGCTCCCTGGCCAGTGAGAAAAGTACCTCTACGATGCACACCTCATTTTGTCACTTATCATGTTGAGAGCAAGACTTATTGCGTTATCATGAGCACCTCTGAACCATTAAAGAGCTATTACAGATTCAATGGTGAGGATAAAGAATTTACTGAGGAGGAAAGACCAGAGAGATTTCTTTATCCAACGCAGGAGCAATTTAGCATCGTTTTATTTTCACCAGTTTCTTGGGAGACAATTCCAAATACTAGGATTGATTTAGATCATTGGGAGCATGTGACCTGTCTGAAGAACGTTTCATTGGCCTATGAGGGGACGAGATCAGGTCTTAAAGGATACATAGTGCTTGGAACTAATTATAATTATGGAGAAGATATTACGAGTAGAGGACGAATTATGATATTCGATATCATTGAAGTTGTGCCTGAGCCCGGTCAACCCCTTACTAAAAACCGATTCAAGCAGATATATGCCAAAGAGCAGAAAGGCCCGATCACTGCAATCACTCAAGTCTCGGGGTTTTTGGTCTCTGCCGTCGGTCAGAAAATTTACATCTGGCAGCTTAAGGATAATGACCTAGTGGGAGTTGCCTTTATCGATACGCAAATATACATTCACCAAATGCTCAGCATCAAGAGTCTGATTCTCGTGGCAGATGTTTACAAGTCAATAAGCTTACTGCGATTTCAGGAGGAATACAGAACTCTATCTCTTGTTAGCAGGGATTTTCGTCCAGCTGAAGTTTATACGATAGAGTATTTAATTGATAGTTCGAATCTAGGATTTTTGGTTGCTGATGGAGAAAGTAATTTGGTACTGTTTATGTATCAGCCTGAGTCAAGGGAGAGCTCTGGGGGACAAAAACTGATTAGGAAGGCTGATTTTCATCTTGGACAGAAGATCAATACATTCTTCAGAATAAAGGCCAAACTCGGTGATCCTGGAAATAACAAGAGACATTTTTCTGGCGCTGATAAGAGACACGTTACCATGTATGGTGAGTATTCACTCGGGCTTCGGGTACGTCATACCCTATCTATGATTTTACGATTTTTCACGGAGAAACTGTAACTTTTTCTCAAAATTCAAAATTCCATTTTTTCCCATTTAATTAATCAAAGCATTGTAATTTATCTTTCTCCATCATTCCCAGCTACACTAGATGGAAGCCTTGGTTACATTCTACCAGTGCCAGAGAAAACGTATCGAAGGCTTCTCATGTTGCAGAACGTATTGGTCACCCATATCTCTCACATGGGTGGATTAAATCCAAAAGCTTACAGGTCATTTTAATATTTTAATATCGATCGTGTTAATATTTGAATGGTAATCAACATTTTTCAATTGTATTTTCACTTTCAGAACTTATACGAGTCACGTTCGAATGCAAGGCAATCCAGCCCGTGGAATAATCGATGGAGATTTGGTTTGGAAATATCTACATTTGCCAAATAATGAAAAAACTGACATAGCCAAGAAGATTGGCACAAGAGTGCAAGAAATTATTGAAGATATCATTGAAATTGATCGTCAAACCGGCCATTTTTAATTCCTTAAATAAATTATTTCTCCCATTTATGTATATATATGAATGACATTAAAATCGATGGATTTAATAAAACATTCTTTTGTTTTTCATCTCTCACCTTAATTCTGTTGTATTTCCGTTTACGAGCAGAAATGTCATAATATTTTATATCTTTCGGAATCCAATAATCTATCTAATTAAGGTCATAATAAGACCTAATTTATTTTTACCTCCTTCTATTTGCTCTTGATTTTCTCAATATTTTCATGTAAAAAAATAACCGATCCTCCAACTCCCTGCATCTAGTCATCCGAAATAATTAATGAGACTTGACCAATCAAAATGAGTATAAGTACCACAGAAATACCTCGTATCGCGAGAAAATCGAGGATCCGCGGGTTACGTGGTAACGTCATTGATTTAACAATTATTCACTTGGTACATTCTAGTCGATATATTAGTTCATAGAAAACAAATACTATATATTATTCAACGAGTAAGTGGGTATTTATACTTTCTTTCACAGTTTCTTCGTTTGAAGTTTTGCCAATATTCTTCCTCGTCGCTTTTTTTTTTTTGCCCTCAATTTTTTACCCTTATTTTTTATTATTTCATATTGAAATTTTTCAGTGTCTGGATCACTGGAGCCTTCACTCCTTGAAAAGAGAATATCAGATGCATTTGACGTGTTCGATAATGCGAGAAGCCACGAGGTAGATGTGCGTGAGTTGGGCACAATTATAAGATCACTTGGTATATAACATTAAAAATATCAATCTATTATGCATGAATTAACGTAAAATAAAAAAATGAAAGAAATAAAAAATATTATCACCGATAATATACAGGATGTGTCATAAGTGAAGCTGAACTGCAGGAGATTCAGGTGCAAGTTGAGGACGTTGAGAATAACTGCGTGACGCAAGGAAGATTCGTCGAGTACATGTCGAAAGCAATTTGCGAACAAAAGTAAATTAACCTAATCGAGAAAGATAATGAGCGCGCAATTATGGGAATAATTGAATTTTAGATTTAAACCAGCAGATCCAGAAGATCTCTTGCGAGCTTTTCAATTTCTCGATGGACGAAATAACGGATATATAATGCGAGCGGATTTGGAGAAGGCTATGATGGAGATTGGTGAGCCATTTGCCAAGGAAGAAATTGATGAGATGATGTCAGTGGCGTGTGATCCAACAACTATGAAAATCAACTACGAGCATTACATAAATTTACTCATTGTGAGTATAAAATTCATCTAGTTCGCCCTTTCCCACTTGTCCAAGTTTTTTTAGCCCAAAATTCCCGGGGAAGACGATATTTATTTGATTTCCGAGGCAATAGAAGCAGCCAAAATTGCTGCGGCTCCAAAAAAAAATATTTTCTTCAAAGACTTGACGTAATTACCAGAATATCCTTCAAAATTCAATAGAAAACTGCTCAAGTATGAAAATTAACCAGGTATATTATAATAGTGTTCTCATTTAACAATAATAAAAAAAAAGCATTTAATTTATATAACTGAACCTGTTATAATTACGATTCATTTCAGTTTCTGGGACTGGGAATATTCGTTTGTCACCTGATACTATTTACAATTTGGAAAATATTGGACGTTCTCCCTTACTGGCTATTGCAATTGCAGCCTTAATAAAGTCCTCACTTTGTAACATTGCTTGATTCAAATTCACCTACAAAATTGAAAAAATTACTTGATAGTTTCCACTTCATGTTTTAGGTCGACTGAATTACAATGATACTCACCATATATTCGAGGCCCTCCGGAACCGTATGATCCCTTGAATAGATTAACGCTTTCTTGGTGTTCTGGACAGCAACTGGACTTTTCTGGGAAATCTCCTCCGCAAGCTTAAGTGTCTCTGCCCATAAACTAATCAATAAAACATTCAATTAATTTACATTTATTGGAAATTAGTATTTTTAGGGAATAATTCTACCTTTCATCATCTTTGAATAATTGGCTGACGAGGCCACATTGTAACGCCTCCTCAGCTTGAATTTTACGTCCAGTGAAAGCCAATTCTCTGACTAAACTCGACGAGCCAACTATCTTAGGGAGCCATTGTAATGCGCCTACATCGGCAGCCATTCCTAAATCCACTTCTTTCAGAGAGAACCAGGCGTTTTTTGAACAGTAACGAATATCAACACCGCAAATCATATTCAAGGCGGCACCAATACAAAGGCCATGTATAGCAGCAATAATCGGCTTCCGGCACTGCAAATCGTATTGTCTTGCAATCATTACATTTACTATCAATAATTGAACGGATTTGTTATTGTTAATTCCTGAATTCGCTAAATCATCGTTAGTTAATAATTAACAATTGCAGCGGAATGAGCTTATTAAGCTCAACTTTAACTTTACAAATGAAGCAGTCGTTAATAATTAATGATCTTCAGTTGGAATTTTAGTTGAATCATTTTTTTAAGGGTGGGTTGCACGATGAATAGGTATGATTCGATATACTTTTTCGATTGATAGAAATGCATCTTGGTATTGCGTTAGTCGTTTCTCCACTAGTCTAGCTTTGCGTGCAATATCTTCATATTGTGCTATCTGTTGACCCATGTTCATGGCATTTTGCAAATCAATTCCTGCACAAAAAGCCTTGCCGGCACCTGTCAACATGACCACTCGGCAGTCCTCATCATTATCAATCATTTTAAAACATTCACCGATTTCCCTGTGAATAAAATTGATTATTCAATGCTCATTCAGTTGTTCAATTGCAACTCACAACTGATGCACAAAAATTCAAATTTTTAATGACGACCAATAAATGTTATATATGCTATGATATACATATATCAATAAAACTTGTACCAGTTATTCAATCCATCAGTTTCATCAATTGCTTTTTCCTATTAGGTTTTTTGTGAAATCCCATTTCTCGATGCATTCTCGAAAATTCTCTCATTTATAAACAATTACATCCTCTTCTTATCATAATACCATACTTACAGCCACATCGTATTATTCAATGAATTCATTTTATCTGGTCTGTTGAGTTGGACTTTGTACACAAACTCTTTGGGCCTTGATACCGATAAAGTATCAAATTTAAAGGAAGACATATGAGAAATATTTCGGAAATTGTGGAGAGCTGCAATCGTAATGCCAACAATAAATGACTGTATAAAAATTCCATATATCAAGTATATTTTTTATACATATATAGAAATACTTCCCGTAGAATACATACATCTGATGACTTTGAATAACGATTCACCAATTCCACTAAGTGTGCACATTCTCCTGTAGTAGGTGCAAAGAGGATTGATTAAAGTAGAGCAGAGATTATAATCCCAATTTCGTAATGCAGAAAATAACATTCACCCCTTCGACTGGTTCCTCTGACAGCGGGACTGCTACTGAGCCACTGAGGTAGTTACCGAGTCGGTTGACGGACAGACACCCCCATTGGCTGTGGCGCCCTCCCTCTCTTGGGGTGCAGCACTACGATGTCGTTGGGGTCACTCAAACCCCCAAAACTGAGCCTCTACTTTAGTCAATCCTCTTTGGCTCCAAGCATCATAACAACATCTGGAAAAAAAGAATAGAATTTAAAGAATTTTTATGGATAACGTGCAATGTGCCTGAGCCCTTTTAATACTGGATTCATTGAACGTAGATGTATTGGGAGACAATAATAACAGCCAGCAAGACCTCTGCTAATCAATGTTTTCTAAAGTGAAATTCATTGCCCTAGGTGAGTTGTCTATTAGTTTAAGGTTATCATTCAATCAGTCCAATTGTATAGTACTCTATAACCTGTCTATTCAAAGGGGATTCATGGCGTGAGGACAAAGCTGATATCGATGCCCACTCGTCAACGCAATTCATTTACAATGCTCATCAGTCATTAGCCATTGATCTTCAGCGTCAACGTTTACCCATATACAAAAGCCGTAACAGCATCATTTATCTTTTAGAGAAATTTCAAACTCTCGTACTCATCGGTGAGACAGGATGTGGAAAGAGCACTCAGGTGCCTCAGGTAATTACTTCCTCAAAGAATCAATCAATAAAAGGAGATAAGGTAAAAAACTTGAATGCTGCCAGGAATATGTAATTGAACATGAATACGCAAGACCGTTCAACACCGTACACGATCAATCAAGAATTCACATTTGTTCTTTTATCTATCGCCACCGAGATAAATGAGTAATTTTTGTCTTTTCTTTTTTGTTCTTTTTTTTTTTCTTTTAAGGCGGGTAATAATATTTTTTTTTGAAACGATAAGATATTGAATGTTCAATTGATTGAGTGAGAGTGAGAGAGAAATGCAATGATGTAAGTGGATCATTTTGGTGGATGATACCATATTTAAATAACTAATTGAATAATATATTAAATAAAAATGGGCTTCGCTCATTCTGATAAACGACAGTGGATAATCGCAGTGATAATATACATTTTATTTTGTGGTGTAATGGATCTGAGATTACATTATCGAATGCGAAATTATGGTGTACGAGTGATAAATAATAACAATGGGAGTGAAACCAACTATTTATCAGACATTATTCCGTGCGATTTGGATCCACTGTGTGTTGTTACGATAAAAGGACTTACATTAGATTATATAAACTTCTATATTCTTGGCCCATTGGCTGGACTAACTGAAAAACTAATGAGATTGAGTGAGAGCACGTGGATATCGCCCAATCTGATAAGCATAACTCACGTGTTTGTTGCTGTATGTGCTGGACAATTGATTAGTAGAAAATCATTGATGCATCGCAGATTTGGTGTATTAGCGTTTCAAATTCGATCATGGCTCGATGATTTGGATGGTTTTGTTGCTAGAAAGATACATCATGTTTATGGTGAACATTCCGATGTTGGTAGTACAGGATACTTCGTTGATGCCATCTGTGATACACTAGGAACAGCTGCGCTTTTAATTGGAATATTCATTTATTTGAAAAATAATATGCCAAAATATTCTGGTTACATGAAATTGGAGCCTATCGTGCCTGTCGCTGGTAGCCAAATAGGTTCTTGTGTTGTTCAGAAGAAAAAAATTCGTCATATCAGAGTTATACCGACTATTCTTCTTATTACTGGAGAATTAATCATCTCCAGTGCTTTATGGAATCGTTATATTGATCTTTATCAAAATCTCTTGGAATCAGACAACCTTAATTTATCCATGACGCAGCAAGAGTTATTTAATAAGCAATCTGAAGTTTTACGTCAGAATTCATTATTAATTACCACAACTCTTTGGCGCCTCATTAATCCCCACGCATTAACCGATTATATTTTAGCTGCAATATTTATTGATCGTTTGTGGTCATATATGCATTCCATCCGGTGGATTGGATATATTTTTATATTCGTGGTAGTTTATTATACAGAGTTTCAGTATATGCAAAGTAGCAGATACATAATGGATGTTGGAGCTCTAGTTGTTTCGGAAATTAACGCAAATAGTACTGTGTCTTAATACTATTCATTTTCAACTGTATAGAATATTTATGTAAAAATTATATATTACTACATGTAATGAGATATATGTTTTTGTACGCATATAATCTTCATTTTTGAATATATCCTTAATTTTTCCATACACCGATCTCTACAATTTCTTTATTTGTTCATTAAAAGCGTTCTCAAAATATCCCCTTATTTTTATTGTCTACTTTTTTTTTTTCCATTTTTATGCAATTCCACATGTTATCCTGGCATAGTATTTACTGGAGGCAGGCTGGTGTAAAGATGGAAAAATCATTGGGATAACGGAACCGAGAAGAGTTGCTGCCACATCTCTTGCCAGTCGAGTTGCTGATGAACGCGGATGTATATTAGGGACTGACGTTGGCTACTCTATACGTTTCGATGACTCCACCGATAATAATACAAAAATCAAGGTTGCTACACTCATCGCAATATTTTTTCCGCTTTTCTCCACTGGTATTAATCGATCAATTGGTTTTTGTTTATTCAGTACATGACTGAAGGAATACTGCTGCGAGAGATGATGGGAGATCCCTTGCTAACTAAATACTCGATTATTATTTTGGATGAAGTTCATGAACGCACTTTACTAACTGACATTATCATGGGCTTGCTGAAGAAAATTTTGAAGGTGGGCAGGAGGCAACTGTGGCAATTTACTGTAATGAAAATATTCTCTGACATGACTAAATATTATATTTCTAGAAACGTAAAAGTTTGCGCATCATTGTCTCATCTGCGACAGTAGATGCTGAAGAACTTCGGGATTTTTTTAACTCGAATACCAGAAAATATGGTGGCAAAGATAGTGCATGTATTTTAAGTGTTGAGGGGCGTTTGTATCCAGTGGATATATTTTATGTGACAGGTAATAACGACATTCTTGAAATGTTTATGTCGACAATATTTTGACTTTTCCTCATCACTTTATATTAATAATGATATTGTATCTCTTATAGATGCAGTCCCTGATTATGTGAAAGCTGTAGTGGAGACGGCTTTAAAGATCCATGAGACTGAGAAATCCGGGGATATTCTAGCATTTTTGACTGGAATGGATGAAGTTGATAGGGCAGTTTCGTTGCTCCACGAACATGGAAAACTTGTAAATGTGGAGAAACGTAAGTTCTCTGAGATGTATTGATACTTCGGTATAAATAACAATGATCTTTGTCAATATATTTCAGAGAAGATTATGCCTCTGGCTATGTATGGATCATTATCAAATGCCGATCAATTGAAAGTCTTTTGGAGAGCCCCAAAGGATACGAGAAAAATTATTGTCGCAACGAACATTGCTGAGACCTCGATTACCATCTCTAACGTAGCATATGGTAATTGAGAAATTAATGTTCATATATATGTCCTTTTTAGAGCATGGATAGAGTGAAAATTGAGAACTTTCTAAGTTGATAAATTTGTTATTGAAATTTACAATTGATAGATTAATACTGGATGTCAAATTGAAGACAAATATTTTCTCACTTCACTCAATATTGAAAAATCGACAACTTTTAGGCCGAAAATATTCACTTATCACATAATTTTCAACTTTATGTATAACAAGTTAATTGGACTTTGTTGCAGTCATTGATTGTGGTTTCGCAAAAATACCCTGGTTTGACATAGAGACCCATACGAATAGTCTTATTATTACCCCAATTTCAAAGGCATCAGCTGACCAAAGGGCTGGACGCGCTGGTCGGATTCAAGCCGGGAAAGCTTATAGGTATGGATGCACTACATACAATGAGATAAAATCTTGTGATAAAAAAATTTATTGTCTCAAGGGATATAGAATACACGACATGTATCTCTTGCTATTTAATTTTTTACACGTTATTATTTTACGAAAATTCGTAGGCTTTATACGGAGAAAGCCTACGAGGATTTGAGTCAATGTACACCACCACAAATGCAAAGATCAGATCTCGCACCAGCAATTCTCCAGTTGAAGGGGTTAGGCATTGACAATGTCCTGCGATTTAATTTTCCATCCGTACCACCGAGCAAAAATTTATTGGCTGGTTTTGAACTCCTTTATGCTCTTGGAGCAATTGATTATAATGGAGTATTAACGAACCCTGTAGGGATAACCATGGCTGAGGTGCCTCTAGAGCCGGTATTTGCGAGATGCTTAATTGCTTCAGGTAATTAATTAGTTAAAAAAAAAAAAAGAAAAAAAAAACATATTATCTTTAACCAAATGAAAGTCAACAAATTCATTCGTTTAAACTAAACTTTCTGAATTTCTTTTGACTATTTTGTTTTTCCATTTGTAGGAGAAATGAATTGCTCAGATGAAATAACAACTATCCTGTCCATGCTGCAAGTTGAAAATGTATTCATTCGGCCAGGTGGAGGGCAAGCATCGATAAACGCCCGAATTGCTCATCGTAAATTTGAAGTTGAAGAAGGTGATTTGTTAATGCTACTGAATATTTACACAGCATATGAGAAGAACAAATGTCACAGCTGGTGTCAAAAGCATTTTTTGAATTTTAAAGCGTTGAAACGTGCCTCGGAAATACGTACGCAAATGCGACGTCTAATGGAAATATTGAATATTCCATTAAATTCTTGTGAGGGTGAGTATTTCGGCAACAGTTTTGCTTTCCTTTTTTTTTTTTTTTCTTGTCTTCCCCCTCTTTACGTGAGATAGATGAAATAAATGAAATTATTTCTAGACGATGCAACACGCCTTTTAAAATGCATAACCGCTGGAATGTTTCCTAATGCTGCTTATCTCCACTATACCGGAGGCTATAAAACATTTAGAGGTAATGAAGATGTGCACATTCATCCAAACAGCTGTTTATACACCCTTCAACAACCGCAATGGTATGTATAGAATATGAATAATCTGTACTATAAGAAACGTCACCTTACATCTTTTTGAAGTTGAGCAATTATGCCTCATGTTTTTATTCACAGGGTGCTATTTTGTGAAATTGTACAGACGAATAAAATTTATATGCGCGAGCTGACAGTAATCCAATCTGAGTGGCTCTTAGACTTGGCTCCTCATTTTTATCAGCGTACAACTTTAAATAGTGCTTATACAAGAATATAGTAATTTATGAAATTACACCTAGATACTGAATTGTATAAATAAAAATCTTTGAACATAAACTCTCATTGTAGATATCTTGATATCTTGATGGCGCAAGATGGGTTCCCCCGCTCCCTCCCACTCTTTCATCACATCGTATACATATATATTCTGCCTAGGTTATATGTGCCGTTGACAAAGAATCAACTCCAAATATGGCAAGCGATAAAAAAATGGGAAAACCTTTGACAAAGGGTGGAAAGTCGAACGAAGAAATTCTTGCCGCTTTCCAGACACTTCGAAATGATCAGAGATTAATGGCCAGCAAATTGTCAGAGATGGAAATGGAGTTAAATGAGCATAAGTAAAGAAAACATTCAGCTAACCTAACTTTACCTGTCTTTTTTAGAATTGTTACCGAGTTAACTTTGATATTTTCGATTTTTACTATTCATTTATTTAATATATCATGTAGAATCGTCATTGATACACTGAAGACCGTCGATCCTAAAAGGAAATGCTACCGAATGATCGGAGGGGTTCTGTGTGAGCAAGTCGTCGTGGAAGTCCTACCAAATCTCATCACCAATAAGAAGCAGGTAAATTTTGAGGCCTAAAATTATTCTTTGACATTTTTGTGTTCGAATTGTAAAATTCTGGATATTCTGGATAATTTAGCCGTGCAGAGGTAGAAAAACTTCTTATTCAAAAATAATATCGATATACATTACATTGATTGTATTGATTAATTTTTTTTTAATTTCATTTAGCTGACTAAAGTAATCGCATCTCTCCATGAGCAACTGACGAGAAAAGGCACTGAAATTAACGAATTTAAAGAAAAGCACAATATAAGAATACGTGGAATAGACGAGTTGCAACGCTCAGAGGATGATTCGAAGGAGCCTAAGGAATCGAAAAGAAATGCACTAGTGGTCAACTCACTGGAGGCTTAATTTTTCAATTGATACTCTTCTATTAAACATATTTTCATTAAATTCAGTAACAATCACGTGGGTTATGTAATTGTAACTGAATTTAATGAATATTCTTCGAGATTTTTGCCTGTCTCTCGAAGTTGTTTTACTCTCTCGCATCATCTGATATTAAATAATAATGCATTTATTCATTTTGTGTATATTTTTATTTTCTTCCCGCTTTCCAGTTTGAATTACTTAAATATACAGCTATTACAAGATATATATCTGTCGATCGGTTTGGAGAAAATATTACTGTTATGAGCAAGCCTTCATCGCGTGATTTTTCCTCCATCTGAAAGTCAAAAATCTGCCTTCTTTACTGAAAATACTGGGAAACTGGATATTCCAATTTTGTTTATTCGTCAGGCAACACTCGATTACAACACATCGTAACTAATTAATATTTTTATCATTGCAGAAGATTTATATTAGGACGTGATTAATGAGTAACTATCGATACATCAATTATCATTTTCATAAAACATTCTCGCAAACGCATTTGAAAACGGGAATTTCATCAACATCTCAGTTAGGTTAGCGACCGCGGAGAGGCGCTCGAGGCGGCGCTAGTGTAATATGAAACTAGTTAAAACACCTGCACGCGAAAACAAACATGAACAAACAACGATCTGGCGGGAGCGGATCTACGTGATGATATCATTTTTCTTATCTTTTTCTGTTTTTTCCTTTCCTGTAATTTAATCCACCAAACGTGCAAGGAGCATCCACCGGTTCCAATGCAATCCAGGAATTCAGCGTATTTAACCGAGTTCAAGAACAATTAACCAATAATTCATGTTGGTCTAACCTTGGTGCCTTTCTGCTAACACATCTCTGTCTCATCGACATAAAAAAATTGTCGTGAAGAAGTTTGTGAATATTTCATAATCTAAATAATCATGAGTAGTCAGACAAATCAGAAGAAGAAACGCAAGAATCAACATTCGCTCGATGAGGAAGTTGGAAGGGCTAAACGGTCCAAAGATAAAGAATCTGGTGATGAGAGTTTATTGTTGGAATCATTACAAGGAGTAAGTAATCAATGGTAGGAATGATAAAAATTTTTTTGTCCCTAATTGTTGCTGACCTAATTGATATTTTCGATACTTTTTACAGAAAGCGACAGCCGGGAGGATCAAAAAGCTGGTTTTACGGAATTTCTTTTGTCACGATCATTTGGTTATGGAGTTCAATAAAAATGTCAATTTCATTGTTGGACGAAATGGCAGTGGTAAGAGTGCAATTTTGACAGCTATTACTATTGGTTTGGGTGGACGAGCGTCTACAACTGAGCGTGGAGATTCATTTAAAACCTTTATAAAGAGCGGAAAAGTATCATGTACCATTGAAATAACCCTGATCAATGAGGGTCCTAAAGCATATGAGCCTGAGATTTACGGAAAAGTTATAAAAGTAGTCCGCACTATATCAGAGACCTCTTCGAAAGTGATTATAAAAGGACAACGTGATAACCTTGTGTCTAAGAGAAAAGCCGATCTCCTTAAGATCACCAGCGCACTCAACATTCAAGTTGATAATCCTATATCAATCCTGAATCAGAACGCTGCAAAAAAATTTCTGATCCAACCCAAAGGCGATAGGATGTATGAATTATTCATGCAGGCGACACAACTGAATATTATTGGCAAAAATTATAAAGAGGCATTGCAGATAAGCAAAGAGACACAGACGAGAATGCAGGACACTCAGAGAGAATTGCAAAAAAATAAAAATGAGATAGAAGCGATTGAGGAGAAAATAAAGGCAATAGATAATCTGGAGTCAGTAAGGAAGAAGTATGAAGAATTGGAGTGTGAATGCCTGTGGGCGCGTGTCATTGCCCAGGAAGCACGTGTCAATGCAGCAGAAAAGGCATGTGTCAATGGTGAACGAACAGTCGAGGAGTTGGTAACCAATGCTGATCAGAATTACAATGGTAAAGCTGAGAAAATTGACGGTAAAATTGCTGAAATCACAGAGCACATCAGAGAATCTGAGAAAGAGGCGGCAACGTGTGAATCTGCTTGGGAGGAAATAAGAAATAAATACCAGGGAAAGAAGGATGGCTTGGCTGCTAAAGAGAGAGAGTATAAAGCCTGCAAACAGTCAATCAACAGAACTCTCAAAGACCTTGACACTATCAATACAGAAATTGTGCGATTGGAGCAACTTAACAGTCAGGCTTATAACGAGAAAGCTCAACTCGAACAACATAAAATTTCAGTTGAGGCAGAGCTGCGCGAGGTTGAACAGAGAATCAAAACCGCTCAGGTCGATCAAGTGCACATTAATTCTGATAAATTACGATTGGAGATGGAAGAGCGGGAGTACAGAGTGGACGTTAATCAGAAAGAGCATCAATTAGGCCAATTGCAAGCCCAACTTGGGAATTTATCTTTGAGCTCAAGTAATTCCTTAGACGTTTATGGTAGGGATATGATAAGACTATTAAAACGAATCGACGAGGAAAATAGACAGCAGCATTTTGAACAGAGACCACGTGGACCAATTGGTGCAGCAATTAAAATGAAGGACTCGTCATGGACTCCGATTGTTGAAAAAGCTATTGGTAATTTAATCAGTGGTTTTTGCGTTGATAATAGGGGAGATGCTCAGCTCCTTGGAAAGCTTATTCAGGAGGTGTACAGTGGGCAAAAATCACCTGAAATAATCTGCAGTAAATTCCTCGATCGAGTTCATGATGTTCGTAATAATAGCACGAGAACTGAGAGATATTGTAATGTCTTTGATATTATGGAGGTGTCTGACCCAGTTATCGCCAATTGTTTGATTGATCAACGTTCTCCAGAGTCTATTCTCTTGATTCCAACGAGTGATGAAGCTGCTGCGTTGCTCAAAGACCGTGAGAATGTTCCACAAAACTGCAAAATGGCTCTCACCAAGACGGGAGAAACATTCTATCCTGATCCAAATTATAGAACCTATTCGGGTTATATTTCCAATCCGAGGTATCTACAAGTATCCACTGCTCAGGTGGTACAGAGCCTCAAGAAGGAAATTAGAGAAATTCAAGAGGAATTCGATGAGTCGAAAAAACTACTGACTGCCAAATGTGAAGCGCTCCATCAAAGTAGAGTTGCAAGTAAGAATTTGTTCAAAAAAATCACGCAACTCCGTGGAATGTTGAATAAACTAAGTGCCAAGGCTGATGAACTGAAGGATAAACTGAGTGATAGGGTGCAAGATAATGGAGATAACCATTCTCATTTTATTTCACTGAGATCTGAGTATGAGCAGAGGTTGGAGCAATTGAGAATTGAGGAGCAACGGCTTGGAGATGAGGTGAAGGAACTGCAAGGGAAGATTAATGAAATCGAGACTGAATTAACACGTTGTCGTGAGAAAGCTAATGATGTCGATGAGTTGATAAATCCTCTCAAGATGCGAATACGAAAGCTGGAGGAGGAGAAGAGACAGTGTCAGATACAGATGAAAGAGGCCAATAATAGAATTCTCAGTGCTCGTCATTCTCTTGAACAGGCTGTTGCTGAAAAAGAATATCAAAAAGGTACACTTCAAGTTTTCCTCGATCACGCTGAAGGACACTCGAGGAGAATTGAGACTAGTCGAACTGAAGAAGAGATCAACGAGGAAATGAAAAAAAGGACAGCCCGTATTGCCCTAGTGGAGACCAAGTATGGCACCAGGGATGTACTCTACGAGCAGTTGGAAATTAAGAAGACAAGATATTTGGAGGTGGAACAGGTTCTTGATGTCTTATTGGCGGCCAATGATCAGCATCTGCAGAGAGTTGAGAATAGGAGGAAAGAGTACAAAGACATGAGATCGGAAATGGGAGAGAGAGTGCAAAATGCTTTCAGCGCTATTCTTATACTCAGGGGATATAAGGGATCCTTAATAATCAATTATGTTGATAAAACTCTCGATCTAAGTGTAATTCCACAGAACACCACTGGACGAGACCGTAATGAAACCATCACTTTGTCAGGTGGTGAAAGATCCTACTCTACTGTTGCCTTTGTCCTTGCACTCTGGGAGTGTACTGCTGTTCCATTTTACTTTCTCGATGAATTCGATGTTTTCATGGATAAAGTCAATCGTCGTATAATTATGGAAATTTTGCTATTGCACACTCGCGATCATCCGGAGTGTCAGTTTGGGTTTTTCACTCCATTAGATGCATCCATCGTCAGATCTAGTGATTCCTTGACGATTCATCAATTGGAGGCTCCAGAACGTCAGCTTACACAGAATAACCGCTAAAATGACCACCTATTCAGGCAAATTCCTTCTTTTTATTTTCCACTTAACTCTGATCGTTTATTTTTATTTTTATTTTTTTTCTAATATTTCAAGATTTTTTCAACAAATTAAAGCTCTTAAAATACCATTATTCCGGTAGTTACATGAATTTTGGTGATTCCACGTATCGTGTTTTTTTGTTTTTTGTTTTTTCCCCCTTTCTTCCACGTTTAATAGAACTTATGGGAAAAGTATTTCATAATATTTATTATAATGGCGTTACTAAAATTCACCGAGTACAAAATATTTACGCGATATATTATTGCACTTATTAAATCTCTCCTAATAATAACGATTCATGGGTCTCGAGAACGTGAGCTGATGCAAAATTACCGATGTAATCGAAAATTGTTCAATCCAAGTCTCTCTAGGTTTTGTTTTTTTTTTTTATTCCTTACTAATATCTCTTGTTTATCGTTTCCCCTTGCCCGAAAAAGTTTCGTCCGAACAGTATTTATTAATATTGAAAATTTAATTTTTGTGTGTCAGTAGAGAATTTAAGTTTGTTCATCGATTACATTCTTGTTACGGGTTATTTGGAGGGGGGTGATTTCGAATACAGCAAAAGAAGGATATTGATAGCATTTGTCGCAACAAAAATTACGAATATCCGAGAGAATTAATGAATAGATAATAAAAGAAGAAAAAAAAATATATATATATATATATATGTATGTATATATATATATAACAGTGGCGGGAGGGCCCCACATATTCCATGTTACAATGTAGTCAACATTTATTTTTTTATAAGAGAAATTACCAAACTTCAAATAATAAAGACTATTCACAAGAAATGGCTATCACTATTTCCATCCAAGTTTGCATCCCATTCTCCACATTTGTCGAAGGAAGCGTCATAAGTAGATCAAGGCCCAGCACTTGCTGGTAAGACGGTAAGACGTAACACGTTCAGATGTTATGTATATATATCCCGATATTTTATATGGTGCGTGGCGAGGCGTGGTTGTAATTAGGTAACTGTTCGAGACATTGAGAGAAAGTACTCTGGAATGCTGGACGAAATCTTGAAGGCCACTAGTGCCAAAAATTTGTAATCGTTGAGAAATTACTCCAGAGATTGTACTGTCTAGACGTGTTGCTGTCTCGATCACTATAATTATTTCCCGGTCTAATCTGCAATTATCTCAATTCTCAACTGATGAGGATCATCGATTTCATCCTTTCTTTTTTCAAATATTTGACATGATTTTTTACTGTGTTTCAAGGGGGTGAAAGTTATGGGCAATCTTTGCTAGGGCAATGACAGATAATCCACGTACCTCCGATTGCGCTGCAATGAATTTTACATTTTTATTTGTAGATGAGATCGAACAAGTGATGTGGATTTACCAAAGAATTTTCACTTTATATACGCATGGTGAATACAGTACACTGGGAGTCAAGTTGTTGAGAGGGTTGGGGAGGGATTAATGGACAAAACGATTTGAGAAACGTGCTATCTGCTTCCGAAATGACTCCAGGACCCGTCCAGGATGCGTGCCACGTGTTCCAATAAATATGGGCTAAGCCGTGCCCCTGCCTCAATTACACAATAATTCATTCGATATCCAAATTTCAATTTTCTAAATTATCACCAGCCATCAATCCATTTACTTAACAGGTCATTTAGCAATTCCCCTGGAATTTCACTCGGTTGAGCATGTAGAGTTTAAAAAAAATCTCTTCAAGGAGAGATTTTGAATTACGTGTTCAATATTTATTCAATATTTTCTATAACAACACCATAGGAATTAACAAGTGGAACTTATAATTGGGTTGGTCTATATTATATTTTATTTTTCAACTCTAGATTTGCTCGAATCTTAAATTGCCTCTTTGGCATATCTATCAGACTCTCGGTACTTTTAGAAAAAAAAAAAAAAAACATGTTCCATAAAAAAAAATATTCCTCTTATGATGACGTCACGTCTACTACACTCAATACATTCTGTGGAATATATAATTATTTTATATTGTATTATTTGTTTCATCATTAAAATATGTCGATCCGTGAAATAATGTGGACTTTATTGGTCCGGTGGGTAAAAATGAAAAAGAGTGTGAGATAAAAATTCTCTGTAACAAGGTACAACGAGGTTCCTTAGTCGGTAAGGATCCGGCATCGCAATTCATGGCCATCAGGAATTCAGGGGAACAAGGCTGCCCTCACGACTCATACGTGGTAATGCTAATTGGCTACCACTCTCAAAATGAGATAAATGAATGCAAAGATATACCTAATGAAGGAATATAGAGTGATATGAATAGCCGATTGAAATTATCCCGAGTTGATGCTTCCTTCGATTTAAATGAATAGGTATGGAGAATACTTAATGAGCCAACTGGAGGCGTGAGACTCTTGAATAACGACATTTTCCACGAAAGCAATAGTCATTGATACATAAATTTCACCGTGAATTAAAAAATCGTAAACGCTGCTGATATTGTAGGCTCTTATTTTTGAAATGGTATCCAATGATTGCTCGTATCGTGAAGTCTTATGCCAGCGGATGCATTGTCCTGATGCTGTCGGCCGGGCACTAAATTTCGATGTGTGGCATGTAATGAAAGTCCCTGGAACGTCATGACGATAAAAGGTATTCCAACGACCTTCGAGGGATACCTTTACCCCGGGTTGGAGATTGTAGATTGGAGATTGGCTGGAGACTGGTTAAAAAGCGTGGCCGGTACAGTGCATCCGGCCAAGTTCAAGAGCGGTTTCCGCCTATCGTTTTTCGGTTGTGGGAAAGTCTTTACGAGGCATCTGTAGGAGGGTGTATGTGGAGGGGGTTGGCCGCATGGTGGTCAGTTACAGTTTGGCTTGAGTATAAAAGCCACTGCATGATCAACAGACGACATCACAAAACCAAGTCGATTCATACCGAATCCAACAAAATCTATTCAGCAATGGTGTTCAAGGTATGTAAATAGGAGGGAGGAGGATCAATCATTTTTTTCACTACGATAATAATAATTTTGATAATTATGTCTCAATTGTTGATATAGTTTGTCAGTCTCTTCGCCGTGATGGCAGTAGCTAACGCTGGTTTTATCCCAGCAACACCACTGGCCTATGCTGCAGCGCCAATAGCCAAAGTTGCTGCTGCACCACTTATCACCAAAACCATTGACGCCGAATACGATCCTCACCCCCAATACAGCTATGCCTACGATGTCCAGGACTCACTGACCGGTGACTTTAAGAATCAGCATGAAACTCGTGATGGAGACCTTGTCCAGGGTAGCTACTCTCTCCTCGAGGCAGATGGCACACGTCGCACTGTTGACTACACCGCTGATCCTATCAATGGATTCAACGCCGTTGTCCGCAAGGAACCAGCCGCTGTCGCTGTTAAAGCCGCACCAATTGCCGCTGCACCATTAGCGTACGCACAGCCAGCTTACACCAAATTGGCCACCCCAATAGCACATGCTCCAATTGCTTATACCGCACCACTTGCCAAGATCGCTACACCCCTCGCATATGCTGCCCCCGCTGCATATACCAAGGTAGCCTCTGCTCCCCTTGGATATGCTCCAGGACACTTTGCATACTCAGCACCGGCTGCATACGCTGCTGCACCAGTACATGCTGCACTTCCCGCATACCTCCACTGATTCTAGCTACCTCTGCCACTGCCATTATTAATATTTATTCCCCTAAATTTTCTCAGCAAATGAATAAATGATTTTTCAAAAATATTTCATTTCAACTGTTTTCAATATTTTCATTATTTCATCCTTCGATGGAAAATTAATAGTGAGTTAGCCGACGTACAACCATTAGCCGCGTTCGCTAATGGTCATTCGAAGAAAGAAGAATTATACAATTATTATAATGATAATACAATGTATTCGCTGAATCCATCATGCAGTATCCATCATACATTTTTTTTTTAATATAAGGGAATTTAATACAACATTATACATAGCGCTATGTAGCACTGATCTGCCGTATGCGAAGATTCGACCTCAAGAGCCCTGTTTATACAGTGAAAGTATTCATGTGGTTGTGAATTCGCCCTATGGTTTCCATTTTTTTCTCAATCTCTTTCTGTTGCTGCAAATTTTGGGAACGGGGCCTTTCTGTACAATCGTTATGCGTCCGTTGCATTACAAATTGTCTACCACATCTGCTACGGCATTGCAATTCGATTGGAGGCACTGCATACACAATGCACGATATTTTGCTTTTGCTTAGGTGGTTACCTATAAATACGCGAAAAAAAAAAAATCAAAAACCATGATTTCAGTAGCCGCTGAGGATGCAGATCGTCCGCTGGAATAATAGTCTTATGGACAGCCACTGGTGCTGGATATCTACAAGCTAGGGGCACCGGAGTGGTTATTTATCGAAAGTAGTAAAAAATTATAAAATTTCAAGGATTAAATATCTTGCAATGAATTTGGCGCTCGCATTGAACCGACCGCAATTGTTTCGTAAACGACTTATCACTCAGGTTGTTCTTCACGTTTACGTAACAAATCCAGTGATTAACAATGATTTTTATTTAGGAATAGCTATGGAAAAATGCACTTTTCCATGTACTATTTAAGTTTCATGATTTCTTGAATGAAATAATTCTTGAAATGATTCTGAAATAGAGGACAGAGAAATGCGATTAGAATATGATTTATGACAAAATGTGGTATAGCATGGCTGAGAGAATGAAGCCGGGATAGGCCTATAGATGTTTATTCAAGTATAAGAAAAATCACAAAATAATTATGAATCATGACAGATGAACGAGTTCACAGATAAGTTTGGGCGTATGTGACACCAGCAACAGGAGCAGTGAAAGCAACCGGTGAAGAGTAGGCGGCGTTGTAAGTGGGATAGGCCCGATATTGAAGTGTATTTACAAGATTGGTAGCAATGGCTCTGACTGGCAGACCATCTGAATTTCGTAATTCAATTTCATTTCGTTCATTTTTCTGATTGCGTTGATTCACTCCATGGATGAATTTCTGCGGTGGCTGTGTGATGGGACCAGATCGCGCCTCAATCACCTCGACATCCGCATCAGGCCCAGTAGCCGGTATCTCAGGTGGATGAATTCTATTTGGAGCACCGGCTCCTGGAATAACTGATGACCCTCCAATACCGGCCACTGATAGAGCGGGCGCAGCGAATGCTGCCAATGCCGGCTCTTTACTAACAATCGCGTTAAATCCATTGACAGGATCAGCGGTATAATCAACAATCCTTCTTGTTCCATCGGCCTCAATTAAACTGTAGCTTCCCTGTACTATATCACCATGTCTGGTCTCATATTGTGCCTTTGAGTCGCCAGTCAGGGTGTCCTGAACGTCATAAGCAAAGCTGTATTGAGGCGCAGCATCAAAGTCTTCCAGTCTCTCAGGGACAGGTGGATCAACAGCTGGATCAACAGCTGGATCAACAGCAGGAACCAGAGGCACCAGAGCACTCCTTACAATGCCAACTACCGTCAGCACCACAATAAACTGCAAAATCAATGGTTTATACCACGAATAAATTAATCATTGATTAATCATCAATCGATGCTCAATCATTCACCTTACCTTGTAAGCCATGTTTTGTTCGCTTTTTGATCACCAGAAGCACTGATGGCTTAGGCTGAAATTCGCCGTGCTTATATACATCAGGATGCTACCAACACGAAGAGTAACTATTTCGTCCATCGCAGCACTTCTCCCACCCTAATTTCGAATTGAACGTGTGACCTCCTCATAACTAAATTTCTTCATATCAGTTTGATTGTACTAACTTACGTACCTGGTGTCGTGCAATAACCTTTCTGTACTGAAGTATGTATGCATTGAACTTTTCTATTGAGAAAAGAAATAATGAGAATTATTTTTCTAATTTTTGTCCTTGAATTGCCATTATCGGATGAATGTACTGGGCCCTTTTTTGATAATTAATCAAATATGAAATGTTTCATGAAATTGCTGAATAATATCCGAAAGAAAATTACGTCACAAATAATGGATGATAACTTATGCGAGACAGCTCGTCACGTACCCCATGGATATTGAGGTAAAGCAAAGACCTTGAGGCCATTGGCCACAAGTTTCTATCAGTTCCATCATAATGACATCATCAGTACAATAGGGAATACTGTACGAAAATTCTGCACGAAAATTCTGCATAATAGCAAATTCGCGAGAGCATTCACAAATTTAGCCATATCTATTGTGAAAGACTGAATATAAATTTCGAAGGGATATTATAATTCAATAAGTGATGAATTTCATTCCCAATGCGAGAGTGAAATAGTGTATATAGCGAATGAATTTATTTATTATTGATGATTAATAATATGATATGACATGTTTTACTAGGAGATTCCTATATTCAATATCAACGGCTTGCATTTGCTACGAAACTGACTAATTTTAATGCCACTCTGCAATTGAGTATTGTCCAAGTTTTTTTTTTTTTTTCTCTTGGAAAAATTTGTGGCAATTCTCAGCACGATCGAGAGGACAAGCGTGATGTGTGGTAAGACTTGGCAAACCGCTGCTCAATTGGCTTGAAATGAATTCGTGCGATTGAAGGAATAAATTGAAGAACAAAATAAAATGTCATGTGATATTTATTTCATGTGACTTAATAATCGCCTAAGTTAAAAAAATATATATCGTTCAACTTCTAGTTGATATTTTCGGAGAGAAAATTTGTTTTTCACGACGAAAGAGTTAGAGAGCGGTTTGAGTTTCTCGTTAAAAATGTTTATTCAGATCAATATTCATATGATAGATACAATTTTTGAGCGGTGCAAGATAAAAAAACAATGGGAGTCGTTGATATGAAAATAAACTTGTTCGTCTTTTACTATGTACATTGCTAAGACTAGTCAATGAGTAATCTACGAAATTTCATTCAAAATTTGAAAGGTAGAGCTGCAACTGCATGAACGGCGGGTTCCCTGTGCACAACGGCATTGAAGCCGTTGATGGGGTCAGCTGTGTACTCGACGATTCGTCTTGTTCCATCCGCTTCGATGAGGCTGTAGCTTCCGCTAACAACATCCCCATTTCTCATTTCATGCTGCGCTTTGGAATCACCGGTTAATACGTCCTGCACATCGTAAGCATAAGTGTACTGCGGATGTGGATCATATTCGTGGACAGGTTTTAAAACTGATGCCACTGAAGCTGCTGGTGCAAGGGCTACAGGTGCTGCATGAAGTAATTCACGTGAAAGTAAAGTTGCGAAGAATCCAATGACAAGCATCATCTGGAGAGACGAAAATCAGCATCAAATAATATTTGTACTTGTGTGGAAATAATTTAAAGCTATCTCTATTTCAATAAAAACTAACTAATGATGATAAATAGCTATTCCAATTGTGGCGATGCTCACCTTAGCAATCATATTGATCACGATAATTCCAGATAAATGGCAGCAACTTTTTCAACTGACTCAACGAGTAAACTGATGGTATGGTGGAACATTACCTTGGTATTTATAGGAAGCAACAATAGTATCACAAAGTGAAGAGACACGTGCAACATTATATGGGTAGCATCCATCCTACTTGCATGATAAAGAGTTTGCTTGAACGTACGTGATGTGATGGGCTGTCCGGAAAAGTTTCGCTTGCTCCAATTTACGTGATCGCAGCGGTGCTTTCCCTTTTTTTCTTATACCACGACCGAAAATTTTACTTCTCGGTCATTACAAACCATTACGAGGCTACGAATAATTGAATGATATTGGAGATCGGTATTATTACCATATATTAAAAAAAAAATAATATATCACTTTTGAAATAATCTCTAAAAATGTTTTACAAGTGTTTGGCAATACTCAATACGACTGATCGAATCGGGGCAAATTAATAGTTTTTCGCATATTCCATACGCGCATCAGATCTGTTAAAAGGAGGACGAGCGTAGTAACCTTGATCTTGAGATGAGCAACATCCCACCTCCTTATTTCAAGATCTGAAAAAGAATCAACGTCTTGCATAATACTGGAATATCCACTGAGGTTGTCGACTCATCCTCTCATTACTCCATCATTCAGTTGTATACAAATGAATATTGTATACATATTGTTGTGTGAAATTACAGCAGCTATGTGATATTTACAAGTTTTTATTGAAATATATTGGATACAAAAACTCGCTGAAACAGTTTGGTAAAATAACGTATAAATAACGATGATTCATATCGAGTGATCGATTGATTACGCGTAACATCATAAGATCCATGAAAAAATGTGATGTCCAGCGATGGTGAATTTACTGAATGGATTTGGCCTAGTGAATGAAATGGGAGTAGGGACCTGGTGCAGCATAGCCCAAGGGTTTAGTGACAATTGAAGCTGGTGCATAGGCAAGTGGTAGTGGTGATGGTGGTGGTGCAACTATTGATGCAGCTTTAGTGATTGCTGGTTCTTTGTGAACAACTGCGTTGAATCCGTTGTGTGGATCAGCGGTGTATTCGACAATACGACGGGTGCCATCGGCTTCGATAAAACTGTAACTTCCCTCAACAACGTCACCATTCCTACTTTCGTGCTGCTGCTTGTTGTCTCCGGTTATCGAGTCCTGGACATCGTAGGCATAGCTGTATTGTGGATTTGGATCGTATTCTTCGTCAATGTGCTTGGTGAGGAGAGGAGTTGCAACTGCTGGGACTTTAGCAACCGCTGGAGTGGCATAGGCCACTGGTGACACCACTTTAGTTACTGGGGCTGCATAACCCAGTGGCTGGGGTGCGTGGTAATAGTGACCGCTCAGAACATCTCCAGCGCTCGCTGTCGCCACAATTGCACACAGAACTGCAAGCTAAGACAAAAGTAATACAAATATTTATTAATAATTACGGTGAATTAATATCCTTTCAATATCGCCAATTTATTGAATTTAATTAATTGAAGTGTATATACCTTGAGTGCCATTATTATTGGTTTACAAGTCTTGACAAGGAATGAGCTACATCGATGTATCCCGCATCATTTATACACCACGACTTAAACCCCACCACTTTTTAATGCGTCTTGATGGTCCATTCAACTAATGGGGACGAAAGGTTCGAAAATTCGAAACAGCGGGGCACGTACACGCAACGAAATTATGCAACCTATCGTTTGGCTGACGGTCATCTCGCTCTTATTATACCAACAATTAAGATCCTTTGATAGATGCATTGTGTTATTGATTTTTCTCCTTGTTCGGCATTTATTACATTTCACGAAATACATTGATAAGAGTATAGTCGACGCCATTTTATACTTGTGATCGAATAGTCATAGCACTAGGAATGAGCGGGATAAGTTTCACTCAAACTTTGAATAACTTAACTGAGAGAATGGTTTATGGCTTCTATGTCGAATGGCTTGAATGATTTCTCAATGGATTTTGGACCCTTCAAATTAACAACAAACTTTAAAAAATAATTGCCTTCCTTTGAGAAGCAGCCTCTTTGTCGCAGAACTGCTGATGATTTTCAAAATAGCGGAGCCAGTAACGATATAAAAATTCTTCTTCTTCTTTCGTTTTTTGCTGTAATTTCAATTGTTTTTTAAATGTGTGTATGCTCTCTGCCGCACCTCAAAAGATGGAAAATAAAAAAAAATAATAGTATTTTCTATTCGCAGGTGAGAAATTTTATTGTAAGAAATGATAAATAATTCAAATGTTTCTCACATTACGCCAATTAATAATCAGGTCATTCGTTGAAATAAAAAGTAGGCTTTTAATATTGAGATTTTATTTTATTGTAATTGTCATATTGAGGTATAGATAATTTCATGAGAGAATCCAATTGCAAGTTGTATAAAGAAAATAAATAAAGTTAGTGGGTGCTGATGAGAGAGGCGTAGCTGTGGGTAGGAGCGGTGTAAAGGTGAGCAAGAGGAGCGACAGGAGCAACAGGAGCAATTTTGTATGCTGGCTGAGCGTGATAGAGTTGAGATTTGAAAAGAACGGGTGCTTGAACAGCTTGAACGACTGGAGCTGGAGCTGGAACTGGAACAGGATGGACAGCTGGTTGTTTCTCAACTACGGCATTAAATCCGTTGTGGTCGTCGGCGGTGTAGTGAACGATCCTTTTGCTGCCGTCAGCTTCAATGAGGCTATAGCTGCCCTCAACAGAATCACCATGACGGGTTTCTTCGTGGGTTTTGGCATCACCAGTCAATGAATCGTGGACACCATATGAAAACTTGTATTCGGGATGGGGATCGTATTCAGCATCAACTTTGGCTACAGGAGCGTAGACAAGGGGAGCTGAATGTTCCAAATTGTATCCCAATGAGACAGCTGGAAGGACTCCAGCGTTTCCAACGGCGAGGAAAGCCGCGAGAACGATAAACTAAAGGAGGTAATTTTAAAAAATCTTTAATACTTCAAGTTCAAGTATATCATTTATAACACTGGACAAAATTGTTTTTCTAATATGAAAATTAAAATTATAATAATTATCAAGTTTTAAAAATTTAAGGAAGTTAGAATGAAAGTAAATGAGAAATATAGCAATCAATGTGGAAGTTTGAGTAAATACCTTGAAAGCCATTGTAAATGTTTATGGACTGATTGCTGGACCAAAACTGATGTCTAGTGAATTTAAAAAATCGTTTATATATGATTGGGCAGCTCTCCAAAATTCCTCTCACCCAAAAAAACAATCTACTTTCAGCCTGGAGCAATCATATGCCCCGCCATACAACAACTTAACAAACGCCTAAGCATCTTGTCAAATTTTGACGTATCACCATTGGCATTTCACTTCCTCTCTCAATGTGCGTTGTATTATACGCTATATTGTACACAAGGTCTACCGTGAGGCAATTCAAGGATGTCATTTTCTCCAATGATTGGATAATGTTCTTCGCCAATGTCAGGTCCACTATCACTTTCAATAGTGCAAACACAAATAATAATATTTTAATGGGCATTATGTAAGCATTAAATAAAATGATATATGTTATGTAGTGCGATGTTGCATTACCACACGGTCGTAATATGAGAAAAAAGAAAAGTGGATCAGGTGTCTTATCCACATGGCTCCACCCAAAATCTGGGGCGTGGTGTATGAACCGCCTGTTGCATCACATATAGCCACCGGCCGGTTGATGGTTGCCCCCAGGGTACACCCAACAAAATTTTTAATCCACAATATTTCGTGTCTATATGGTAAATGTTAAATGACTGGCATTTATAACAGATTAAGACGTGGATAAGTCGAACAAGTCTCGACTGCACATCTTGCTGACAGTCACAATTTATCATCAAACCCCCTAGCAAAGCTCAATTTTTCATATTACCACATTATTTTTGTTTCTCGTTTTGTTTTTTTCACTCTATTCAATTTGGACAACGGGCCAGAGACAGGGGGCCAGGAGCCAGGGGCCAGGGGCCAGGCGCCAGGATGGTTTCTCATTGTTCGAAAGACACCTTGATGGTGGTTGACCGGTTGTCCTTGAATATAGTCAGAGTGTCTTGGAAGGAACAAGCTCATTACATTTCTACTTTCAAGTCAAGGGTTTATTTATCGTGAAATTGCCGCAACTCGATATGGAATTACAATATACCATAATGATTCGGGATAATTCAGACAAGGCGAGAGATGACCAGTGTTTAATGTAAAAAAAAAATTCAAAATAGTAAAGGCTGTTAAAAGATTCATTTTCCAAATATAATTATGTGAATACTATATACAACGGTGTTGTCGTAATGTGGCCCAGTTTTGGATTTAGGCGTTTACAGTGAAAGTATTCTACATTCATTCAAGTTAGTACGCATCGCACGTGGACATTTTCAACTTGCTACAATTGGAATCAATGAGAATCGTATTGGTGAAATCACAAAACTGAAACGATGGTAAAATTTTCAGCAAAGGCATTCTCAGAATAAGTGTTCCACCGCAATGCAACGGAGAAATTGTTAACGAAGGTGCAGAAAGCCCTTTGCCTGCAGCACCAAACCAAAAAAAGAGACAAAAAAAAAAAGAAAAAAAAAACACGGTTTCAAAGTGAATTGGGCACTTGCATTACCTTTCAACTGCCGATAACTTGTCGTCAGCAGCTTTTATAAGATGATGCTGCCTCGGCAATTTATCACTAGAGGTATTATCATTGAATTGTTTATATCAACGTACAACAAACCAATTTCTGAGCGATTTTTTGTTAATGTATAATTTTAAAAAATTGTAACAATTTAAAATATTGAACATTTTGTCCATTTCCAAATAAAAAATTCGAATCGATTTCCATCATTTAACCGCGCCAGTGATAACTAATAAATACTTATAAATCAATATAAGATTGAATAGTTAAAGAGTGAAAGCGTATAATAGGAGAATAGGGGCAAAGCCTATATATGTATAGCTCTTCTCTGCTGATTTGAGATTAATTCTATATATGTGAGGGAGGCAACGGAATATCAGTATACTAATGTTATTATGGGAATGTTGAGCGATAGCAAGGTAGTTTGTCGCTAATCATGCCACTCAAGTTGGTACGTTGGTGAGAGGCTGAGAGATGAGGAATAAATGTTGTGTGCCGCTCGAGGCAGATACAACGGACAAACTTTCAAAGTCTATTTCATGAAGCTGCTGCCGCTCTCCAAATAAACTCAGCCTCCTCTAAAAGCTAATTTAATTTCCACATTTAATTTCTATTAGCTCGCAATATGATTATCCATGGAAATAATAAAATAAATCCATTTGAAATTGAAATTTATCATTTTTCACATTGAATTTTCAATTTTTCAATGGAATCCATTGAGTAAGAAGGAAGAGAAATGCAGAGTATAGAATATACAATTGTCAAAATTATCGTGTTGAAAGTGAGCGGTTGGGGCGGACTATTGGAATCACGAGCCCACAATTATCGGTAAGGGACGCACTTTCGCCGAGAAGCTTTGCATATATTGGTAAGGTCAAAGAAACTTGGAACTTTGGGAAACGTGCGGTGGCTCTAACAATCTAACGTTGCCAAGAAACTTTACAAGTTGATCCGACCAGGGATTCACTATAGCAGGAAGCCTCGATGCCCCCAAGTCTTTTCTCCTGAATTATCTCGGCGAACGGCGAACGGCCAACGGTCAACGGCCAACGGTCAACAAGACAACAACACACTTTTCTCTCATTGTACATGTTGCTTAATTCGTCATGATGATTGCTTTCTACATAGAGAAACATTATTGGATAGTTGGTGAGAAATAGCCTTTCAGCGTCCTCAAGTGCTCGATGTAAAAAAAGTTGCGAAGGCATATTCCAAGACATATTTTAAAATTGAGAAGAAAATATATAGTGATACAACTGTGAAAAAATGCTCAATCAATGAGACTTTCATAGTTGATTCAATGTGGGCTCGTGATTCACAGGTTTGCTGAAAGCCTGGTAATAATGATCAAATTGAACAATTTATAACGATAAATTCATTGATACCTCTCGTCACCTCGGTGAATCGGAATAAATTCGAAATTTGTTTGTCGATATATGCGTGGGGAAGGGTGCGTTTGCGGTGTTAAAATAGGGGGTTGAATGTTATTCGTTGAGTGAGAGAGTGAAGGCGAATGGAAAGAGATGGGGTGCTTTATTCAGTGGCGGTGGTGGCGGTGGTGGCGGTGGTGGCGGTGGAGATGGTGGAGATGGTGGAAATGCGAGGGCGCGCAAGCCAGTTGGTGGCGAGACTTCGCCCGCGCAGCTTCCACCCTTTGAAATTCAACTTTATCGTCACACTTCCTTTTTATTATTCTTCTTTTTTTTTCTCATTAATCCCCAAGTTTTCAATTATTGAAATTTGAGAATCAAAAATAATAATAACTCTGTGAATGATATTTCTGCTGAGCCTTTTCTCATTGAAATTTTATTCGTTTGATGCTGATTGAAAATCAACAATGCAGGGTCTCGCAGTATTCATCAAAATTGTCCTAATAACGAGAGGTCAGTATATGAGTATTCAAATAATTATTCTAAAATGTCTACGATATAATAAATACGATGAGCGAGTTTTCCAACTGAATTAATGTTGGAATTTGGTGTGGACATGGTATTACTCTAATGTCTGCTTCATGCGATGCACATGTGAAAAGTTAAATTTTCCGATGGTTGATTGAGAGCGTCAAGCGTGAAAAAAGCACTGAAAGTGAGCGAAAAAGTGCTGTATAGTGGCAAATCGGGAGAAACCTCTGTTGTACGATAGAATGAAAAGAGATGGCTCATGGAGTGAACCAATCACTTCTTGCGAGTTACCCTTTCTATCCTGGTTATATACTGGAGACACGTGTTTTCTCGGTCGTTCCAATTAGCTCCATATACCCCCAAAACTCTATACGCCCGTCCCAATAATTCCAATCACTTTTCGCTCGTGATTCTCTTCCTCCAATTTTTTCATCGTCTTTGTTTTTTTTTTTTTATTTTTCTTTTTTTTTTCACTAGTCCTGTTTTCAATTCCTGGACCGGTAACAATGTCCCCCCAACCTGCCAAATTACTCTCGAGCTTTTGTTCGTGCTTCAAAAACTTTGAATACCAATGTAAATAGGGGACAATACTGTAGATTAAATGTTTCTCCCTGTTATTCGGATATGATGAATACAGAGAGAAATTTAATTCCTTTCTATACTACAATTCTCAACTCATTAATTTGACGACTATGTGGGGAAAAAAAAGTACACGTTAACCAACACTAGTTGGCACGACTTTTAGTCCTTGAAAAGTTTGATTAAAATTTTCTCGGAGCATGCGACCCACCTCTTTAGGAAACATTGCCGTTCACAGCAGTGTCCTAAACTCTGCAAACTACTAAATTTTCAAATTTCAATGGAGACACAAACTAAGGTATTTCGCTGGGCGAAAAGAGAGAATGAGATATAGAATGAGAATTTCACAACTTTCAACATAATAAAGATGGAGAGAGTTAGGTAGGATGGTAAGGGTGCACGGCTTGGGTAAGCTTGAGAGAATAAAGTTTTTCCCTGTTTCGCCGAGCTTATGGTATTATTTGGGTTTATCACGGGTATAGAATAGGTCAACTGGAAAAATCTTGGAGATGACCAATCTTGGAATGACTATGATCTAATATGTAAACTGTTACTAACTAGTTGTGTGGATGGACGTGCACTCGGTATTTTTAATAATGATTTTATCGTTTCGTATGCCCAATGATTATTGGTTATTTACTAGATGACTCGTGGATTTGGTCGCACCGAAAAAGAGTGCCAAAAATTTTTAGCTTCTCATCTATATAGAGCTCGGCCAACTTTTCTCTCTACTCCCGGTTTTACCTTTCTTATTCGCAATTTATTATCCGCATGGGCTTCTTCTACTTGAGAACTCGTTTCGTTATGTTAATTAACTCAGTTCTCGCCTAGCAACTTTTCCTGAAACTCGGTGTTTGTTACTGTAGTTTTATTTATTTTCCCTTAAATTCTCAAGTGGCAAGTCAGCATTATTATTCCATCGCCACGAGACATCTTGAGCTTGAATCTAGTCCATAAAATAAATTCCGTTTGAAAATGGAAGAAAGGGCCGTATAATCATACCATTGACTATGCAATTTTTCCACACTCTGACGATGAAAAAAAAAAAAAAACAATTCAATTCTTTTCATATGCTCGTGATTTTTTCATATTATTTTCCGAGTAATAGACGTATTAGACGTAACCATTCCTCTCTTCTCCCACCACTGAATTTATATATCCATTGCAGACAGCGTCATCATGAACTGTGTCACGTTCAGATAAATTCAAATGGATTTTCTTTTTTTTTTCTTTTCTCTTTTTTTTTTTTTTCATAAAATACGTTTTTACACAGTAGAACTATCTGGTGCTATCAATGTCTCACGTATTCGCGGCTTTTATTATTTTGTCGGGTAGTCTCACATGACATATTGAGAAATAACGCAAAAATTAATTCTGTTCTTTCGGTACGCTGATCAATAATGAAAGACTGATTAAAATGGGACCGACATTTTTTTTTTTATTCTTTGGCTCTAATGTATTGTCATTTTCACATATAATTATAGTGAGAGTATAAGTGTATTGAGTATTTGAGTGTTACATTTAACCTGGAAAAAATTACTAGAAAATGGCGTAATGGAGTAAATGGGTGAAATTTTTGTACCACGAGATTGGAGACTGGAATTACGAAAAGGATGGAAAATTTCGATTGAATATTTCTCTGGGTGTATCAGCTTAGCGCACTCTGCGGTGAGTGACGTGTGCTGTGCACAGTACTCCCTGAATTTTCATTTAAAATTCATAATGTTACGTATTTATTTTCAGCGACTGATGAACGGACGATTTTTGCTCCCCCAATCCCTCTCTTTCCATTTCCGTGATTTATCCACCAATATAATGCGATTAAACTGGGAGAACAGAAGTGTGGACAATGGAGCATTAAAATAGAGGAGGAAGGAGTAAAAAATTGAATGAGAATGGGTTACATGGAGAGAAGAAAATTAAAAGGGAAAAAGATGAGTACGGGTATGGTGAAATTCTCGTGCTGACGCTACGCACAGTTAGAGGGTAGAAAGAATCATAAAAAGTGGATGAAAGAAAGTGCGGAAAGGGGGCTACAAAAGCTGGCATTTGCTGGGATAGGTATATATATGTGCTCCCCACGAAAGGCCAAAATTGCCATCACATTTTTTTCACGTTGATTCATTTGAAAGTTGATCGTTGATCCTTTTCCTTCTCATCACTTTATCGTTGAATCAGCGAACGAGGAATGAATGTATAAAAGAATCAATCTCCACGTTTCAATCACACAGTATTGAGAGGAAATGTTCTATTTTCAATGGGAACAAATGTAGAATTTAAGTTTGACCGTGTGATGCACACCTCGATAGTTTAAACTTTGTTCTTGGATGCATTATAATGAATAACAAACACTGAGAAGTTGATGAATCGCTAACCGTTGCAAAACTTTATCCTCCAATAGATAGATATCTCGTTATCGCCGTCACTAAATAATTCTCAACTAGGGGGAGGGGACATTGATTATTCTCAAAAAAATGTGGCTAAAAAATTTTAATAATTTTCTCATGATTCAGTGTTGCCGTGATGAGCTTAAATAAAATTAACAGACATTGAAATTCAAATAGTCTGAATATACATCGTGTACCAAAATTTATATGGAAATTTCTAGACAAATTGGCGACATCAGAATGGAATTACGGTAGAGGAAAGATGAATAGTGTCCAACTCTGATGTGTATTCATGTCTGAGTAATACTGATGCAATGGCATATATTATTGCAAGATAATTTTTCTTTGTTAAGACTTGAGATTTCACATAATAATAACCCACTGAGAGAATGAGTTTTTACGAATCATGAAAAAAACGCCTTTTATCAATTTAGAATTTTTTTTTTTTTTTTTCAACAAGAAGCATTTGTTTCCCCACGACTTTATTTCCCTCTGAAAGATTGATTTCTTTCATAAGATTATACTACGCAGAAGCATCATTTTCACAATCACAATAATATATCAGCTGGTAGTGGTAAAAGTGCAAAAGATATTTTGAAATTGAAAATACGAGAAGGAGTAAGACGAAAATAAAAAAAAATTGCAGAGAATAATTGTGAGGTTGCTTATCAACAGTTGATGTCACCGGAAGTGAAAATCACAAGCGATTGACAGTGTATTCCTCATTCCTCAGTCTCTGGTATAGTTACTCGCATGTTGCCACATTGATGCATACATAGTAGTGGTACGGATACTCATAATTCAATGTGTTGGCCGAGTGACGACCGGCCGTAACAAATTTATGGAGTCATAATATGTTCACCTATATGCACCAACATATCCTATTCGCATTTCCCATGACGAAATAGACGAAAGCCTGCGGAATAGCCAGTGAATTTCAATTCTGCCATGTTAATGCACGTCGATAGTCCACATAATAGTCCACATAATCGAACAAAACGCTTGGCTAACTCTTGATCATTTTGATTGAACGAAATATAATTTTAATTAACTTACCGATAAATCCAACTACATGACTTGACACGTGACAAATAAAGCCAACGTTCAAATTGTTCGATGTTCGCTCGAAGTCACTCAAATTTGGACAATAGGATTACAACAAAATATAGAAAAACCTATGGGGAATGATTGTAATCTAAAAATCAGTGAATAGAGAGCTCTGTTCTGAGAAAGGCCTGTCCTTACTAGTTTTTTAAAAAAAAAGTTTGGACTAGTGAAATGTTTAGCCACAGATTCATGCGAATCTACTGAACGATCTTTTCAAATAATTCTTTGTATAACATGGAAACAATAATAATGTACCATGGGAGAATAAAAAAAAATTCCGATGAAAAATATGTAGAATAAAGGGAATATTTCGGCACACGTAATGCAAAGGTTAGATCCGTGAAATCGCCAAGAATTACATAAGGACATGTGCAGCACATATTTATGTAATGACTGTACCGGGCGAAACCCTGCATATACATTATTTTAAATTTCTCCGTGAATTTTACATGATTTTTGTGAATGTAAATGAAAGCGTCAGTGTGAATGTTCTAAAAGAATGGACTCGTATGGATTCGTTTTAATGTATACATAAAGGCAAGTTGCTAGGTGCATACCAACGAGACGAGATGAAAGGTATAAGGAAGAAAGACAGATGACACGTAGCTCACTCCCAAACTTTTTCTCGTACGTTTTCCGTAAAAACAAAGTGCCGATATTTTTCTTACTCCGCCATTTTTTTATTCCTTCAAAAGCTCACACACTACTGTCAATACAAACGCTTTAATGGCTCAGTATTCATTGTATTTTTTAGCACAACTTTGACAAAAAAAAAATTTTTTTTCCTCTCTACCCCTTTTTTTGTTGATTCACCCGCGGCAAAAAGAGACATTTAGAATATGACTTTCGTGGTATAGCAGGAAAATACGATCATAAATAGCGTACGTGCGGATATGTGAACACGTTTAG